GCAGTCAAATGCCTTAGTCATTACACCACCAGAGCTCCTTGCTAATCATATACAAATGGAAAATATGCTAAAGAAATATCTGTGGCCATGGTTTTTATATGTATAAACTTATACCCACACATCCCCCATACACAGCCTATAATCTAGAAAGTAGGACACTATCCATGTTTGAAATTTAGATAAATTCCAGATTGGCTTAAACCCAATTCAATATATGAACAATACACAAATTTGCATTGTACAATTACGTAAAGAGTGTAATTCACACAAAAATTACTCTACAAGTAAAGGTTAAATTAAGGAAATACTATAACGTGGAGGGCTCACCAGTGGAGCTCTGGTGGGACAGTGGTTAAAGCACTCAACTGCTAACCAAGAGGCAAATGGTTCCAATCCACCAGCCACTCCATGGGAGAAATGAGGCAATCAGCTTCTGTAAAGATTTACAGCCTCGTAAACCCTATGGGTACAGTTCTACTTTGTCCTACAGGGTTGCCATGAGTTGGAATCAACTCTACAACAGTGGGTTTGGAGATATTTTTGATTGTCACAGTTGTGGGGGAAGGTACGTTACTGGTGTCTAGTGACCAAAGTCTCAGTATGGATTGCACTTCAGCATAAAGAAAACAAAAATCCTCACAACTGGACCAATAAGCAGCATCATGATAAATGGAGAAAATACTGAAATTGTCAAGGATTTTATTTTACTTGGATCCACAACCAATGCCCATGGAAGCAGCACTCAAGAGGCCAAGCAACACATTGCCCTGGGCAAATCTGCTGCAAAAGACCTCTTTAAATTGCTGAAGAGCAAGAGGTCACTTTGAAGACTAAGGTGCACCTCACCCAAGCCATGGTATTTTCCATAGCCTCATATTCATGTGAAAGTTGGACAATGAATAAGGAAGATCAGAGAATGGATGAATTTGAATTGTGGTGTTGGCAAAGAATATAGAATGTTCCATGGACTCTCAGAGGAACAAATAAATCTGTCTTTAAAGAATTATAACTAGAATGCTCCTGCTCAAATAGTTTCTTTTAGAAAGATCAAGACAAGGCTGGTTCCTATGAAGTGAAGGTTAAAAATGTCCAAGTTTTCCCAACTGCTATACCACTCTATCATCTCTGCGGTCAATTTCCTCCTCCTCCCCTCAAAACCTTCCCTCCTATCTTAAGTGTTCTTTATTTTGCTGTAATGTCTCATATATTGCCAAGAAATGGCACACGGTACTCCACACGGTAGTGGAGGCAGGGAGGCTGGCAAGTCCCAAATGTGTGGAGCAGTTGTAGGTCTGGAGGATTCTCCTCACTCACATGGCTATAGGGGCTGACGAACCCAAATTGGCAGGTCAGACAACTGGATGCTGTCTCAAGTCCAGGGTAAGATGATGATGAACCGAGTGCAAGATCTGGAGCAAGAGAGAAGGACTTTGCCAGCACATTCACAAATATACCCTCAAGGAAACTAAGGGTGGTGACTGGAGTCACAACCTCCAGCAAGGTAGGACTCAAGATACATCCCACCCTAAACAGGCATCACTGCCATTGAGTCAGTCCCGACTCATAGTGACCCCTCCTGGGGTTTCCAAGGCGGTATCACTATGGAAGTAGATTGCCCAACCTTCCTTCCAAGGAGTGGCTATTGGGTTGGAACCTCCAGCCTTCTGGTTAGCAGTCAAATGCCTTAGGCACTACACCACCAGAGCTCTCTAAACAAGCATAGAGGCTAGGACTTACAGTACATCATAAAATGGAAGACTGTAGCTAGAGGGGCCATATTAAGCAATTCACTGCACTGCAGGTCCTTAGAAGTGAGAATGGCCAGACTTCATTGCACATACTTTGATCATGTTATCAGAAAGGACCAGTCTCTGAAGAAGAACATCGTGCTTGGTGAAGTAGAGGAGCAGTGAAAAAGGGGAAGACCCTCAATGAGGTGGATTGATACAGTGGCTATAATGATGGGCTCAAGCATGGCAACAATTGTGAGCATAGTGCAAGACCAGGCAGTGTTTCATTCTCTTGGACATAGGGCTGCTATGAGTCAGAACCAACTTGACAGTACCTGCCAGCAACATTCAAATATTGGCTGAAGGCAGAGTTACACACTCTCCGTTATCTATAATATTCAATATTCATTTCTATCATAAATTTAGGTCTGTTTTATAACTCTAAGTACAAGAAACATTCAGTATTCATAATTCTTTCAAATAAACACATAACCCTTTTTAAAAAAACATTCCAATTTCATCTTCTCCATGCTTTCACTATCTTCTCATTCATATACATATGATCTTGGTCCTCTGGCTGGGTGGAACCAGAAGACCATGGCCCCCTATCAATTATGTTGTCTAACTGGCCTGGTTTTTGCCCCAAGCCACTCCAGACGAAGCTTCTGTCCCTTCAGCTGCACCATAACACCTCTCACTTTCTTTTCAGCCATTACAGGTACCAGCAACCAAAGTAACCATCAAAGAAGTAAAAGTTTTTCTTCTCACATCCCTTCATTCTTTCTTTTACAAAGTCTCATGCTTCCATGAATCTGGAATCATTGTAACAAATCCCACTTCTGACACCAACTGTAAAAAAAAAAAAAAAAGCATATTGGCAGCCTCACACCTCTTCATCTAACTTAATAAGGGAGAGGGGGAATCAAGATCAACAGCCCAAAGCCGATTTTTATGAGGCAGAGGTCAGACATACCTCCTCCAATCTTTTTTTTTTCCCCAATTCTGACACCAGCTGTCCCTCCCACAACATTCTCTATTTTTCTACTATGTTAGATAATTCATTGCCATGGTCATACAGAACTCACAGACCATTCTCATGATTATAGGATTTATAATGACTCAGGACACAGTTCTTTGGTCAGGCAGCTCCTCAGCCATGCCAACAGGCAGGCCTCTGCCTTGGCCCCTGGGCCCCTCAGGCTGGCTTCTACTCTGCTAAGGTATATAAGTGTTACAACACTCTTTAGCTCCACCAATAAGTGCTCAGAAGCATCTACTCCACCAGGAAGGCTCCTGCCTGAAGGTACTCAGCTCTCTTGCTCCATGGGCCAGGAAGCCCACCTTGCCATCTTGTGCTGGTCTTCTGGTTCTGCTGCCATCATGTTTCTGCCTCTGCTTCTCACCATCTCATGCCATTTCCAGTGTCACAGCTCTCTCCCTCTCCCTCTCTCTCTCTCTCTCTGTCTCACTCTCTTCTGGGTGGCAAAACCAATCAATCCCATCATTAGGGTTCCATACACATTATGTTTATGGTCATAGTCCCACAAGCTTGCCATGCACCTTTTTTGCATTATTGGAAAGCTGTCCAATCCTTTTGGTGGACCACAATCACCATATTTGCATAGTCCCACCCAATCATTTGGTGAGAGTTGAAAGACCATGGCACAAAAAAAAAAAAAAAAAAAAAGCCATATAAAAGCAATCCATCACACCAGTTTCAGTTACTTTCAGATACATACAGGAGCAGATTCATTGGCCTATTGTTTACTATTTATTGTTGTTCTTAAGTGCTGTTGAATTGAATTTGAACTCATAGCAACCCAATGTGACAGAGTAGAACTGCCCCATAGGGTTTTCTAGGCAGGAAACTCCATAGGTTTCTTTGCAGGAGCAGAGCACCAGGTCTTTTCTTCTGTAGAGGCACTGTACCATCAGTGCTTCTCTTTGCCACTTATTATTGTGTGTTGTCGAGTCAATTCTGACTCATAGGACCCTATAAGACAGAGTAGAATTTCTCAAATGGGCAGAAGACATGAATAGACACTTCACCAAGGAGGATATTCAGGTGGTCAACTAATACATGAAAAGATGCTCACAATCATTGGCCATCAGAGAGATGTAAATCAAAACAACAATGAGATATACTGTTTCACCCCAGCACTGATGGCAAGGTTCAATGAGACAGAAAATA